CCAAAAATAAATAAAAAACGTTGAAAAAAAAAAATTTTTTTTTTTTAAATTTTTTTTTTTAATTAACATCTTTTTTTTACTCAGGCTAGTCAGCTTTATGTTTTGAAAAGCCTCTGGTCTCCTTTTTTGAGCCATTTCTCTTTCCCTTGAGTATCATAAGCTTGATCTGCCACCTTGAGGGAGGGCCATTTGTATCTGGCTGTCAGTATTTCCACCTCATATTCCAGATGGCTTTCTCTCCTCTTCCCAAATGCCTGGCCTGACAAGGCAGGAGGGTGTCTACAGGAAGCCTGCCCACATTCCTGCATCTCCAAAGGACCTGGCTGCCATCCCCACCACACCCTTGGCCAGCTTTGCTCTGTTCACTCCGGGACCAGGACCAGGCAGACATTATTACTAAGCTCTGACTGTGCCTTAGTTTCACGATGACATTGGTACTTCTTCGAGGTGCCTGGAAGGTTGGGAGATGGTTACAAGGTATTAACCATGTATTAAAGGACTTTCTGTCTTTTTTATGCTGTTTTCAAAAGGCACGAAAGAATTACTGATGTCCTTGATCAAAAAAATTACGTGGAAGAACTTAATCGGCACTTAAGGTAGGACTCACTCCCTTTTCCAGTGTCACAGTTAATTCTCGGTACCCAATAATTGTTCCGTGGAACATTTTTCAGTTGCCATAACTGACCTTTTTTCCAAACCAAGTGAAAAAGGGGTATCATAGCGTGCTTGTGTGTACAGACCAGAGGAGTATGATTTCTCAATAAGGAGCTTTGGGAGTTCTTTGGTTCTTTGTTTTATGCAGTTAGACATTGTAGAAAGCAAACAAATTAAGCCTTGAGTCTTCACCCCTCACCCCTCAGCCACCTGGTTGGAAGTGACTGCCATGGGAAGCACTGTTCCTACAGGGAATCCGCACACATCCCTCTGGTGTGTCGGGACAGGAGAAAAGGGCTAAACCCCGACAGCAATTCAGTAGCAACAGCAGGCATCTTTTCTGTGATTTTTTTCATTTTAATTGGAAAGCTCCCGCTGTGTTCCATGAAACACTAGCCGATGGTGGTATTGGTGGAGAATGGGCAGAGATTCACAGTCTAATGTGTTTGGGAGACAGGTTATTCTCTGTATCTCTGAATCCCCTCCGAGTGGGCAGTGCACATAAGCAGTGCTCCAAGGGACAGCCCCGCTGGCCCCAAAAGCCAACGAGACAGCTAAAGGAGCTGGCACATTTCACAGAACGTGCCTGGGGACAGTGCTCCAAGTTCTCCTGAGGCGTGATGTTGGCTGTTGCTTTGAGAGATCCTTGATAGATCCCTCATTTATTGACCGGTTTTGTAAGGAAGAGATGTCAGATTTCATCAGACATTCATTATCATTCAGGCAATCATGACTTTTATCCCTTAATCTGTTGATGGGAGGTTTTTTATTAATAGATTTCTTCATACAGAACCATTTCCAGGTCACAGGAATAAACTCTACTTAATCATAGTTTTAGTAACTGCATCATTTTTGATATGTGAACTGACCTAATTGTTCTGTAGTTTTTTCCCCCCTCTGGCACGGTGTCAGGATTATGCATCTTCACAGAATGAATCAGGAGGAGCTTCTGGTTCGTGAGCATTATTTGCTCCTTGAAAAAGTGAAGCATGGGGCGCCTGGCTGGCTCAGTCAGTAGATGCGACTCTTGATGTCAGGGTCGTGAGTTCGAGCACCACACTGGGTGTAGAGATTAGTTTTTTAAAACAATTTTAAAAAAGAAATCAGAAAATGTGAAGCTCAAAGCCTTTACTGAGGCAAGACTTTGTCAGCTTTTCAGTTTTTTCCTGAGTTGTTTATCTGTGTTTTTTTCTCCTGAGGATGTGTCTTTTTTGGTCATTTATATTTTATTTTAAAAATTTTTTTTAATGTTTATTTATTTTTGAGAGAGACATAGAGCACAAGCAGGGGAGGGGCAGAGAGAGAGGAAGACACAGAATCCAAAACAGGCTCCAGGCTCCGAGCTGTCAGCACAGAGCCCAGCGCGGGGCTCAAGCCCACGAGTTGGGAGATCATGACCTGAGCCGAAGTCGGACGCTTAACCGACTGAGCCACCCAGGCGCCCCTGGTAATTTATATTTTCGAAGAAAAGCATAAATTTTAGGGACGTTTTCTATGTTACAGTTGGAATAGAACTGAAAATTACATACTTGAAAGACTTGTAATTCCCTCTATATCTTTTGTGTTCTTTTTTTTTTCATTTTGTCGTGTTTTAATTTTTGTCGTATCTAATGCCTGAACTTTGATTCATTAACCTTGCCAGGTTTATTTCTTTGCCCCGCCCCCCCACTGGCAAAAGGCACCAGGTTAGTGGCAAAAGGTACAGGTTCTCGAGCCAGACTGACTAGGTTCAGATCCTGGCACCCCTCCAAACGGGGATGAAACCTGAGTGAGTTTTTCAGTGTAAAGTTATGGTTTCCTCGTCTGTGAAATAGGTAACGGTAAGATTTACTCACAGAATTATGGAGAGGGTCACATGAGCTGATGCACTTAAAGTGCTTAGAAGGGGCACCTGGGTGGCTCAGTCGGTTAAGTGTCCAACTTCGGCTCAGGTCATGATCTCATGGTTCATGGTTCAAGCCCCAGATCCAGCTCTGTGCTGCTAGCGTGGAGCCTGGAGCCTGCTTTGAATTCTGTCTCCCTTTCTCTGCCCCTCCCCTGCTCTCAAAGATAAATAAACATTAGAAAAAAATTAGGGGCCCCTGGGTGGCTCAGTTGGTTAAGTGTTTGCCTTCGGCTTGGGTTATGATCTCACAGTTCATGAGTTCGAGACCCACATCGGGCTCTGGGCTCTCTGCTGTCAGCGCAGAGCCCGCTTTGGATCCTCTGTGCCCCTCTCTGTCTCTGCCCCTCCCCTGCGTGCTCTCTCTCTCTCAATCTCAAAAATTAAATAAATAAATAAACAAACAAACAAACAAATAAATAATTTGAAATAAATAAAGTGCTTAGAAGAGACCTTCAGAAAGGAAGGTACTGTATCATTATTGTGGCCGTTATTATTATTTATCAGATTTACATTCGTTTTACATATTTTTCAGTGGGAACATAGTACATATTACTTAAAGAATATTTGAAAAAGTGAGGCAAAGTATAAAAAAGATCCCCCTTTGATCCTACAACCCCAAAGTACTATTATCTTGTTGTGGATATTATTTAGATACATGACTGCCAGTACATTTTGGTTCCCATCTACCATGTTAGGGAGAAAAAATGATTTTCTTTCCAGTTGGCTAAAGAAATGTATAGCATATTTTGGGGGAAAGACATTGAAACCTTTTCAATAAACATATACACACGCACACATACGTATGTCTTCAGAATTCTCATCTCTGAATTAATCGGAGACCCCTCAACTCTCCATTTCATACAGGAAACCTAGGAATCTATTCTCATTGTTCAGAGGTTGGGGAAACAGCCTTCCTAAAGTTCACCATTACTTAATATGTTATTTTCTCTAGCTGCACAGTTGGGGATCTTCAAAACAAGATAGATGGCTTGGAAAAGACGAATTCAAAACTTCAAGAAGAGGTTTGTAACTTACTGAAATTCTTAGGACAAAATGGCCCAAGGTTAAGAGAAACAGTGTGGTTGGTACATCTGACTGGAGCTGCTCACTGGTCAGAATGGGAATCGCTAAGTTTGGACTGAGCTGCATGTGAGACCGGTGTTCTCGGAATTTCGCATCCTTAGAATGTCTGTGGCCCTGTCCGGGGCTTCCCATGAGCCAGTGCAGCTGATCATGAGCCAGTTCTAAGTGACTTAGGTTTTATCACCTCGCAGTGAACCCTGGGCCTCCTTCGGAAAGCCCAGCTCCTGTGGTGAATGCGCTTCTCTCTTCCTCTTTCCCCACCTTCCTCTGACATAGTATGCCTCCCTGCTGCCCAGAAGGTGCAGACTCTGTTATGAGGTAAAAGTACCCTTGCCCACCCCTTCTGTGTTTCGGCCTCTCAGGAGCCTGGAACCAGTCTCCCCACAGTGTGGTCTTTCTCTGCTTTCTCACTAGGAAGAGAGAGAATGAAAAGACAGGAAGAAGGAGGGCTGAGGCCGAGGAAGAAAGCTTGCTGCCCGCTGCCCGGCAGTCTCCTTGGTGGACACATCTTGTCTCCTGTTAGCAGGAGGGGGGTTGCTCAGCCTTTCTGAGGCTTTCCACAGGTAGCGGTCCCTGGCTGCTCGGGCCTCCCCACCAGGTCTCACTGGGGAGGAAGAGGGCTGTGAGAGGTTGCCAGGGCGTGACCCCCACCTCAGTGTGGAGGCAGGTTATGGCCAGAGGAGAGACGCAGAGCATGCCTTTGTACAGAGGGCCCGGTTTAAGGCTCCCTCTGTTTACACTGACTGCTCTCTCCCAAGGGGCCAGCGCTGGAAAGCTTTAAGGAGAGGAGCTCAGATTTGTGTGAGGAGAAGGAGATTCAAAGGCGGCGTTTGTAGATGGGCTTCTCAGGAGCAGCTTCACCACACTTAGAACTGGAGGACCCACATTGCCCTTGGGTGGGTGGGCTTTTGGGCCTTAGTTTATTAGGGAGGCAGGTCTTTGGGCCTCACTGTCCTCATCTCCAAATCAGATGATAACTCATACCTAACAGTGTTGTAAAAATGAGATTTGTGTTATATAAATGTGCCTCACACAACACTTGGCGTGTGGAGACATTAGTTGATTTTAGAACAAACAGATTGACTCTTCGTTCTCCCAGGCGAGGTGGCATACTTTGAAGGAAGGTCTAATTTTAGCTTTTGAAACTAAACAGCTAGGTTATTTTTTCTTCAAAGGCCAACAACTGTAATGGGAAACATGCTTTATAGAAAAGTCCCTCTCCTCAGGGTGTGCTCTCCCTGGCTTCAGAGAGCAGAGTGGGAATTAGCAGATGGCTAACTAGCACCTCTAGAGACTTAAGATTTCTTAGTTCGGCACAGCGGTAACGTTTAGAAACCCCAGTCGTTCGTGGGTTCTGAGTCCACATGGACTTAGATGCAGTTGAGGAAGAGGAGAGAGGCGTTCAGTGCTTTAGCCCCCGCCCCCTCAGTGAGTGATGCCAAGAGCACAGCCCAGTTCACGTCTTCTTTCTCCTTCCCCAGCCTGCCCTTCTCTCTCCAGGCTGTGTTCAGAGGCTGCATAAGGAGAGGTTGGTGGGTATGTTAATGCCTCTACCTGCCTCTGCAGAGAACCTCCTCCCAACAGGCTTGTATACACTTTGCCCCCACCTATGGTAACTCATTCGAGGACAGGAAGATGGCTTTCTAGGGCCCGGCTTCAGCAGATTTTGTTGTGATTCCTTCCCCAGAATGCTTTAAGTCTCCCTCTAGTGATAAAAATAATCCTTGTTTATTGGCTGGAAAAGAGTGAAGGATCAGGAAAAAAAGCCCATAATCCCTTTGCTAAGTAACAGCTACTGTTATTATCCGTGTATATGTGCTCTCCAATGTTTCCTAAGCATTTCTAACACAGGTGATTTTTTTCTTTTTAATTAGAGGTGAGAACGTGCCATAGAACTTGCCTTTTGTCCCCTATTGATATTATACCCGAAGTATGTTCTCAAGTCATCAAAAGCCTTTGCAAACATTTTAATAACTACATATTTCTGCCTTATGCTCCCACTGTCTTTCAGTAAGCTTCTGTGATATTGGACACTCAAGTGCCTCTAATAATTTGTGTCCATAAATCCTTGCCCACATTAAATCCTTAACCCCATTAAGTGGTTTGCTCTCATTTTTTTTTAAACTATGTGAATGTATTCCCTATTCAAAACAAAGAAATTAAATGATAAAATACCAAATACGTGGAAATCCATCATCAATTGTGAAGGTGCCAAATGTTAGTTTTTAATCTGAACGGTAAGATTAATTTCAACGTTAAGGAACATAAAAATCTTTCTTTATCAGCTATCAGCTGCAACAGACCGGATTTGTTCACTTCAAGAAGAGCAGCAACAATTAAGAGAACAAAATGAGTTAATTCGCGAAAGAAGTGAAAAGAGCGTGGAGGTGAGAAACTGACCTCACAGCTGGGCAGCATGTCTCCCATGCGCAAGTGTCCATGGCAGAGCTCATGCTCATTGTTTAATAGTGACACAGGCCTCAGGACGTACAGAGATGCCTTGTTTGCTGCCACTGTGCCCTCCCACACCACTTGCAGGCCACCTGGGCCACTTCGGGCTTCCAAGCGCACTGCTTCCTCACCTCTGGGCCTTTGCACTCAAAGGTTCCCATTTACTCTTCAACCTCTGCTCACGTACTGTGTCCTCTGTGATGCCTCCATGGCCCCCATCCATGGCCTTGGGCCTTCCTCCCCTGTTCCCAGAGCTGTTTGTCCCTCCCTCCATTAGAGAACCCATTTTCTGTGTCATAGAATTGCTGGCTTACAGCTGTCCTACACAATGACCTGAGAACAGAAAGAGACCATATCTGATTCATCTTGAAATTCACCCACTGCTAAAGAACATGCTGGATAAATAAAAATCCATGCTGAATGATGGAATGAATGGGGGCCTTTCCCACTAAGAACAACGGTTCTGTTTTAAAGAAAATTAAATATGTATTGTTTTCCGAACCTAACTTTCCAAAAGTATGTTGACTTGCTGTCATCCTTCAGGTTCAAAGATATTTTGAAGTATCTTTTAGCATTTTTCTACAGTGCTTAAAATATAGAAGTTATCCTACATCTTTAAAAATTGTGGCATATTCTTTTAATGTTTTTATTTTAAGTAGGCTCCATGCCCAATGTGGGGCTTGAATTCCTGACCCTGAGATTAAGAGTTGACTGAGCCAGCCAGGTGCCCTTATGGTATATTGTAAAATACTTTGTAGTTAGCTCACTTCCATAAGCAAACCATGCCTCTTGGTGTTCTTGTTTGACATAGATAACAAAACAAGATACAAAAGTTGAGCTGGACACTTACAAGCAAACTCGGCAAGGTCTGGATGAAATGTATAGTGATGTGTGGAAGCAGCTAAAAGAGGAGAAGAAAGTCCGTTTGGTGAGTGCAAGACTGTCTTTTTTTTTTTTTTAAGTAGGATTCATGCCCAGTGCAGAGCCCAACATGGGGCTTGAACTCACGACCCTGAGATCAAGACCTGAGCTGAGACGCTTAACTAAGCTAGCCAGGTACCCATAGGCTAAGTGTCTTTAGAAGGAATTCCCCAATAGCCCTTCATGTTATTTGTTGTCACTTTTCACACATGTGCTTAAATCTGCTTTTAAAAACAAATGAGTTTTTTATGCAAAGTTTCTAAAGTCTGAAGAAATATATTCATGAAGAATCAAAAATCATCCCTTTAAAAAAAATTTTTAATATTTTTAAAATATTTATTTATTTTTGAGAGAAAGACAGAGTGTGAGTAGGGGAGGGGCAGAGAGAGAGGGAGACACAGAATCCGAAGCAGGCTCCAGGCTCTGAGCTGTCTGCCCAGAGCCTGACGCAGGGCTCGAATTCAGGAACCGTGAGATCATGACCTGAGCCGAAGTCAGTTGCTTAACCAACTGAGCCACCCAGGCGCCCTCCAAAAAATGTTTTTTTAAGGGCTTACTTAGCGTACACCTAAGTTTTGTATTTTTTCCAGTTTTATAAACCTTTTTCAAGGATTACCATGAGACCAGATTCGAGGTTGCTTTGCCAATACAGTTCCCTCAGTCAGCCTCTGGTCTATTTATTATATTCTACCTAATCTCTGTGCCAGTGACCAGTGTTTTGGGTTTGTTTTTAATGTTTATTTATTTGAGAGAGAGCGATCACAAGTGGAGGAGGGGCAGAGAGAGGGAGAGAGAGAATCCCAAGCAGACTCCATACTGCCAGTGCAGAGCCCGATGCCGGGCTTGATCCCATGAACCGTGAATTTTAAAGTATGCTCCACACCCAGCATGGGGCTTGAACTCATGACCCTGAGATCAAGAGTCACACACTCTACCAACTGAACCAACCCAAATGCCCCAACCAGTGTTTTTTAGTAGACACAACTCTTGGACCTGCTTTGTGTCTTTACGCAGATGTGGAAACGTGTCTCCTGAGTTACCCAGGACAGCACTAGTTCAAAATGGTTGCACCTTTATTGCCATAAAGGAGCAAACCATACGAAAATCCAAAAACTCTCACATTGCAACGTCAGATCGCTTGGCAGACATTCTTTCAGACTGTGCGTTCTGATCTTCGGGTTTAAAGAATGTGGTTGCCAGGATCAAGGCTCACATTGCCACCTACCAACTTTCTGTTGACTGGATCCAGAGCCAGTTTTCCTTACAAAAAGAGCAAAAGGGCTAAACTTAATGTAGTTATGCTCTAGACAGAATTTCCTAAATCTCCCTAACCTACTCCGACTTCCGGGTTATATTTTTGCCACTGCCCAAGATACACCCTCAGGTAAATACATCCCTGTGTCTACTGTAATAACACCTTCTTAATTGATATTCCTAATTGATAAGGAACTAGAAAAAGAACTGGAGCTGCAGATTGGAATGAAGACGGAGATGGAGATCGCAATGAAGCTGCTCGAAAAGGACACCCACGAGAAGCAGGACACCCTAGTCGCCCTCCGCCAGCAGCTGGAGGAAGTCAAAGCCATCAATTTACAGATGTTTCACAAAGTTCAGGTGGGAGCTGACTCTGTGTCCCTAGCACAGCCTTGCGACCTCACACCGTTCTTGCCGCAGAAGAGAGGACGGACACCTCCGTGAGGCCCCGTCCATAGGCCCTGTTACGCATTTCTGCACTTATTTTATTTGGGTCTCCCAGCAGTCCCTGAGAAAATTGATAACATGGGGGAAAGTGTAAATTACAGGGCAGACCCGAGTGGCTGCATCTTGTGCGCTGGGTGGCACAGCTAGTAAGTAGAACTGAAAACTGAACCCTGTCTTGGCCCGTTCTTCCCTTCACTGTCTCCCTAGTGTCTGTCGTCTTCTTCAATGACTGTCTGCCCCAGGAAATGGAGAAGTGGATTAAGGAACGATAGAAGTTAGTGTCGTCTTTTCAAGCTGGGCCATGAAGTTAATCTTGCTGAGTCTCCAGCTGCGTGGCTGGCTGCACGCCTCTCCTGTCACTTCAGAGCGGTTCAGGGGAGGTAGCCCAGAGAGAAGCAATTGTGCCAGAGTTTGAAAGCTAGCATCTAAAAATCGCAAAGCTTCCTTGCTCAGAGGCTACAGCAGCACCCAGGACCATTCTGTTTCCTTTTCTTTTTTTTGAAGTTCTGTTTCCTGGGTTTTTTTTTTTAATTTTTTTTTAATGTTTATATTTTTATTTTTGAGAGAGACAGAGCATGAGCAGGGGAGAGGCAAAGAGAGAGAGGGAGACACAGAATCCGAAGCAGGCTCCAGGCTCTGAGCTGTCAGCACAGAGCCCAGTGCAGGGCTTGAACTCACAAACTGTGAGATCATGACCTGAGCCAAAGTCGGACGCTCAACCAACTGAGCCACCCAGGTGCCCCTGTTTCCTGTTTTAATGCCTGAACTGTCCCACTTCCTCTTCTTTAGAGGTGCTCTCAATCTGTGTCAAAGATGGTGTGAACAGACACACATGTTATCTTGTCCTGCCATTTTTTTTAAACATAGTCTCATTTATTTATTTATCTATGTATTTATTTTATTTTAATTTTTTAGAGAGAGCGTATGCAATCGGCAGAGGGAGAGAGAGAATCTTTTTTTTCCTCATGTTTATTTTTGAGAGAGAGTGAGTGCACAAGTGGGCGAGGGGCGGAGAGAGAGGGAGACCCAAAATCTGACAGGCTCCAGGCTCCGAGCTGTCAGTACAAAGCCCGACGAGGGGCTCAAACTCATGAACCGTGGGATTTCACCTGAGCCGAAATCAAGAGTTGGATGCTCAATCTACAGAGCCACCCAGGCACCCCCAGCCTTTTTAAAAACTATTACATAACCAGCATTATAATAATAGCTGCAGTGGAAATTAAAGCACAGGGAGAAAAAGAGGAAAATCGTTGCGCTCTCCTGACACATTCTTTATTTTAATTTGTGTTTTCTTCTGGTCTGGGTCAGTCTGTAACCTTAATATTCATGCTCGTCAGAGGAAACCATACTTCCATAATAATTTAGCAGGCCCTAACCTAAAGCAGCTTCAAACTATGGCAGTTTGTATTTCTGTTGCATAATGGTTTCGAGGAGATCATTTCAGACCAGCAGTTTTGCCCCCCACAGTCGCTTGGGGACCCAGGCTAATGGCAGCTCCAGCTGTCCAGGCCACTGGAAGGGAGTGGAAGGGAGAGAAAAGCAAAAGTCCAGAACCAGGATCTCCTCCCAAACAGTGAGAGAGAAGTTTCACACATCATTCCATTCAATAACACAGCCAAGGGCCAGACGTGGCTGCGAGGGGAGCCTGGGGCTGGCGTGTCCCAGCTGCGAGCCAGATGAAGGGGAGAATAGGAGTCACTAGGGTCACTAGATATAGCTGTCACTACCACCATCTGCCCCACTGAGCTTCCAGAAGTCCTGTCCAGTCCCAGAATCCTCCCAGTCCGCAGCCCCTGGGTGACAAGCAGCACTCTCCATGGAGCCCTCGAGGCCTGTGTTTGAACCAGAAGATCAGCTGTCTTCCTCACATTAACCCATCCCGCCCAGCATAAAATAGTGGAGCCAAAACAGGATTGCAAAAGGAAACAAGAGACCCACAGGGCAGACCCTGGCCTGCCGTGGCCATCATTTGCACCTCTGGGCAGGAGCTGGGAAGGCTGCCCAGGGTGCTGGGGGCTCCATTTGTTAGCATGTCCACCTACCCTTCCTCAGTCGTCAACAGAACTTGTCAGCCAACCTCCATGGTCTCTGACAAGTCCACCATCTCTATAGCCCATTTGAAGTGGGCTCTTGGGGAATGTGAGCCTTCCTGGTGGCTGCACGGCTTAAAAGCCACATTCCCACTGGTCTCGGTTTGCTGGCCTGGAGATTGTATGAAGGGTCAAACAGTCACAGATACTCTTCAGGCCTGACTCGTGGTTTTTGTGACAGTACAGTTCCCTCAGTCACCATGTCTGGTCTGGTTATTTCCCTTCAGTCCGTGTATTGATGACCACAGTTTATTGTTTCATTTATTTTTATTTCTTATTTTTTTATATTTTTTTTATTTTGAAGGAGAGAGTACAGGTGCACATGCATGTGAGCAGGGGCGGGCAGACAGAGAAGGGGAGAGAGAGTCCTAAGCAGGCTGCACATTCAGTGGGGAGCCCAGCGCGGGGCTTGAACTCAACGACCATGAGATACTAACCTTAGCCGAAATCAAGAGCCAGATGCTCAACTGACTGAGCTAACCCTGCGCCCCTATGGTTTCATTTATTGAACACAGTTTTTCTGCCTGCCTCATTTCTGTGCTCTATCAGTCTTTCCCCACTCCCCTCCTTCAGTGGCCGGTCGTCTGAAACTGCAGACAGAGATGTGCAGGAAAGCCCATACTGTTGTTTTGATTACTACAGCTTTGTAGTATAGCTTAAAATCTAGGATTCTGTACCTCCAGTTTTGTTCTTTGTCAAGATCACTTCGGTTATTTGGGGTCCTTTGTGGTTCCATACAAATTTTAGGATTGTTTGTTCTAGTTCTATGAAAAATACTATTGGTGGGAAGGGAAACAAAAATAATATAAAAACAGGGAGGGGGACAAAACATAGAGACTCATAAATATGGAGAACAAACAGGGTTACTGAAAGGGTTGTGGGGGGGGCGGGGATTGGGATGGGCTAAATGGGTAAGGGGCACTAAGAAATCTACTCCTGAAATCATTGTTGCACTATATGCTACTTTGGATGTAAATTTTAAAAAATTAAAAAATTTTAAAAAAAGAAGTAAAGGAAAGAAAATACTGTTGGTATATTGATAGGAACTGCATTGAATCAATAGATTGCTTTGGGTAGTATGGATATTTTAACAACATTAATTCTTCCAATCTGTGAGCATGGTCTATTTGTGCCATCTTCAGTTTCTTTCATCCATGCTTTACAGTCTTCACAGTATCGGCTTTTAACCTCTTTGGTGAAGTTTATTCCTAGGTATTTTGTTATTTTTTCTGTAATTATAAATGGGATTGTTTTTTTAAAATGGTTTGTTTTTTTTTTGTTTTTTTTTTTTCACCCTGCTGTAGCAGATACAACTATGAAAAAATTGAGGCTTTTCCAACACATTGGACACTAAATGGAATGATAAATCCGTAAACTTAACGATCTTCCAAGACTGAATTAGGAAAATAAAAATCTTGGAACAGACCAGCACTCGGGTGTTCTCAGTTATTATATCTATTTAAAAAAAAAAAGTCAAATTAACATTATTTTGTTTTTTTGAGAATGCATGAGCAGGGAGAGGACAGGGTAGGGGATGACACCCCAGAATGGTCTGAAGCGCTGTGACAGCCTGAGCGCAGCACACAGCCGATGTGGGACCTCAAACCCAGAAGGTGGAGATCTATGACCTGAGCTGGGAAGCTCAGTTGCAACCTGACTGAGCTCTGTCAGGCTCTCCTGCTTTTTTTTTTTTTTTAATCATTTTTAGAGAGGAGTAGGAGAGGAGAGAAGGCAGGAGTGGAGCTGGGGGAGAGGCAGAGACAGAGAGGGAGACACGAATCGGCGGAGGCCCAGGCTGAGTGTCAAGCAGCTTAGAGCCCTGATGTGGGTTTGAACTCTGTCCAATGTGATTTGACCTGAGCCAAAGTCAGATGCTCAACGATTGAGTCACCCAGGCACCCCTCCAGAGCCCTCAAGTATAGGATTGATTTCAGCTCATGTTCTCATGGTTTGTGAGTTTGAGTCCCACGGATTAGGCTCTGAAGCTGGCGTGGCCTGAATTCTCTCTTTCCCTGTTTCTCTGCCCCACCCCACCTCTCAAAATAAATAAACTTAAAAAAAAAAAAAATCTAGGGGTGCCTGGATGGCCCAACTGGTTGAGTGTCTGACTTCGACTCAGGTCATGATCTCACACTCATGGGTTTGAGCCCCGCGATGGGCTCTGTGCTGACAGCTCAGAGCCTGGAGCCTGCTTCGGATTCTGTGTCTCCCTCTCTCTCTGCCCC